CCCAGATGACTGGCCTGTTGACTTTGGCTTCAGGGGCACATAGCAAACTCACACAGAAGCCTTCTTGGGTTCTCTCTCTGCTGGAGGTGAGGAGAAAGTCCTTGGCAGGGAGTACCAAGACTGACAGCACTTTCTGATACCAGTTTCCAGTGGCAGCTCCAGTTTAGCTCTTTTATGCCCTTGAGCAAATGAGGGACCAAGGTCAGGGAATCATTGTTTCTGCCACTTGATTTGCAAGTCCTGCATGAGGCAACCAGTTCCTCCCTTTGGGATTAGGGGAGTCACCCCACCAATGGTCTTAGCCTCTGCCAACACTGACACAGGTAACTGCACACAGGTAATGCTTGTTCTCCAAACTCTAGAGCCAAATAGATTCAGATAAAATTTTTGATAGACTCAATGCCATCTGTAAGGAGGTCAAACCAGTACTGAATATTCATTGGAAGAACTGATGCTGAAGCTGACACTCCAATATTTTGGCTACCTGATGCGAAGAACTGACTCATTGGAAAAGACCCTGATGCTGGGAAAGATTGAAGGCAGGAGGAAATGGGGATGACAGAGGATGAGATGGTTGGATGACATCACTGACTTGATGGACATGAATTTGAGCACGCTCCGGGAGTTGGTGATGGACAGGGAAGTCTGGCATGCTGTAGTCCATGGGGTGGCAAAGAGTCGGATACGACTGAGTGACTGAACTAACTGAGCTGATGCCATCTGAAATTTTGCTATTCAATATCCCCAACAGAGGAAAGGAATGGAGCAGTATAAAGTGGGATTTTACTGGCTGAACTTCCTGTCTGAACTCACCCTACATGGATAAGGAGCTGGACAGATTTGGGGGAGGGATAGTTGCTAATGTTTTACTATCATGGGGTGGTGGGGAGGGCTACAGTAACGGTCTGGCAAGGCATCTGCCCTTTTCAGGCAGTATTTGTTCCAGAGGATAACCACGTGCCAGATGAACCCACGGTACCCTTTCATAATGCAGCAACAATGGCAGAAAAAACAGCTGTAAATTTGCCCAGTGACCACCTCCTCTGGTTCACAGAGTTGCCCTGGATACAGAAGTACCACAATAATCAGCTTAAATCACTGTTTTCCTTTCTGCTGGCCTGGCGCTAAGGGAGGGCATCTGACTCCCACATAGTTGGTCCCCCTGACTCAGGTCCTCGTCCTGGACACTGTGTATCTGTGACCCTCAGATGGTAAGAGGGAAGACCTTTATCCTGCATGGTGACCCTGTCCTTTACATGCAGCACATTGCTCTCATAGGATTAATTAAAAGGACAAGTATCTTTCTAAAAAAGCAGAAGGAACTTGTAATGAATTTAAAGTGAGAGAAAAATCCTCATTTAAGCAATATGTTTTTTCCCACAATCCCAACCCAAGCATTCAGAAAAGTGCAAAAACATGCATTATTGAAAAGGTTTTTAAGCAAGCAACTTTTAAATTCATCGAGATGAACAGACAGGCGGGCACGCACCTCTCTCACCAGTAACCCTGGTGCCTGGGTCTCTGCCTCACATCGGGGGTGGGAGGTTCTGTGGTTTGTTGGGGGCAGGGGGCAGGGGGAGGAATGAGGAGGAAGGCTTGGGAGACATGCTGAGAGGACACTACCGTTAGTTCCAAGATCAGTCTGATTTGGAAAACCAAAAGCAACCTGAAGAGAATGTTTAGGTGACAAATAGAGGCAGAGAGGGAGGCTAGCCTCACATTTCACTGCCATCACTGCACAGAGATGAGTGATTTGCAGCCTTCGTGACTTCCATGGCTAAGGGACCTGTCCTCTGCCCTCCTCAGGTGGGTGGGGGTCACCCGTTCTGCAGAGCCAGGAGGAAGGTACAGCCCCACCACGAACCACTCAACTGAGCACGACAGCCACCAGCCCTGGGATTGCTGGCATTGCCCTCAGCCAGCTGCAGACAGGGCTATGTCAGCTGCATGAGAAAACATGACTTAGGAGACTGCACACTGCCCCCCCCCCCAACCCCCGCCCAAAAAAACCCCTTGTAAATATTAATACAACTCACTTCACCAGGGAAAAGTCCCCCAAATCCCATCCTTTAATAAAGTGGCTGAATCTGTGCAGTCACCCTACATAGCCTGCCGTGCCTAGAACCCAAGGATCCTGGCAAAACAGAGACTAGAAAATGCAACTTTAAAGTCTCAACCTTTGCCAGCCAGTTAGCTTCAGTTTTGAAAATCAAATCCAAAATGTTGTTGCTGAAATGTCTGAGATATTACTTTTTGTGTTTTAGTGAGATAGCTTTAATGGCCATTGATTTCTGGGTAGTCAGTTGTACCTGTGTGCCTCATTTCAATTTCCTATTTGATATCCATTGAACCATAAATCCATTCCCAGAGCGAGGGGCGTTTAGAGTTCCTGTGACTTTGAAAGACCACTGATCCTGAGTGCCTTCAAGTCTCTGAGTGCTCCGAGTGACTGTCTGTTGGGCCTTGAAAGCAGGGTTAACTCATTTTGTGGCTTCCTTAATGGCTGTGAGTTTACATTTTATTTCATGTCTATTGTTTGGGTTGGGCTGTGATGAATGGTTTGGCTGCCCAGTTCAAAACAAGTCTCCCAAGGCGACAGCAGGATCTAATTTGTTTTAAAAATGATGATTATAAGGCTTTTCAAATAATAATCCAGGAACAAGGGAAACAGACAGCACGTTGCTCTACATGGGACACACAGCCAGAAGTGAAGTGAGGACGTCCCTCCTTTTCCACGGGCAGCTCCTGCTCACAACAACCACTAGGGAGGCCAGGGTGGTCTCTCTTTCATCAGGGGCAGCAGGGATGCTGCCATTTCCTTGAAAGGAGAGCCAATAGCCTCTGCTTGGTCCCAGACCAGTTCCCAGGAAGGAAGTGGGCTCGTGGATCAGAGGCTTCTGTGACAATTGGTACCAGGACGGTACCCAAGCAGTGGCATTTTCTGCCTAGTGATGCCATTGTGGGACACATGTGTGTGGCTCTGGTGTATCCCCAAATCTTTGAAGTCCAGCCTTGGCCCCCAGCTTTGAAAACGCAGTGATCTTTTTCTTTACAGCTCCTTCTGTAGATGGGGGAGGGGGGTGCTGAGTGCACAAAGCATGCTGGGAATGTCTCAGAACTGACCCCCGAAAGCGTGCTGCTGTTTCTCTGATGAGGAGGGAAGCTCCACCCTGTCATTGGCCTGACATCTACTCCTTTCTTGTTCACGTCCCCTGGGATTAGCATCATCAAGGGGGCTCTGTTCGAAGAAGGCGGATGGAGAGGAGGTTCTGGGAGGTGGTGAGGACAGGTGGGGAGAGAGGGTCTTGTCCAGCGAGTGCAGGTCAGTGCCTCACAATGGGCTCTCCAGAGGGAAAAAGAGCCCCCTACCCCTTGTGTAGCACTTGTGTTGTGTATGCAGACTTCTGTGTTGCAAACAGTCCTACTAGGGCTGATTTAAAGCTCCCAACTATGTAACTGTTTGCCTTTGCAAAAGTCCTGAAAATATAACAATCATCGCATGAGCTAGGTCTCCAGAGTTGCCTCATCCACATGTTCTAAAATTTAGAGATTCATTTCAGGAATAAGCTCCTCAATCCACAAAGCAAACACCTCCCAGACTGATTGCATCTACCAGCCATTCATACCTGATTATGAACCACCAGATGTAGAGTTTAAACTGTGGGCAGGAAGGAGGAGGCTGGGGAGAAAGACAGTTATCATGTATCAAACAGAGCCTGGGAACTGGGGGTTGGACTTTGGTCCTTGGTAACAGGGACGCCGTGGACTGGAAAGGCACAGCCTGCGACAAGCTCATGAACACTTCCCACAGGGAAGAATCACGCTTGTTTCTCTTCTCTCGGGTCACAGGAGTACCTCTTCTACCTGCCACAAGAGCCCTTCTAGCCAACAAATCAAGAGGATGCCTTCTCAGGCCTGGTGAATTTTTGAAGTAACAAAAGCATACAGAGATGCTGATGCAAAGCAGGAATACCTTCCTGGAAAACACACCTCCAGGTAGAGAATGAGACCGAGGATGTCAGGACCTGTGGTTCAGAGTACTCAGGGACCCTGGGGGTCTCACCCCTGCTTCCTCAATTGCAGGGCCCACAGGAGCTGCGAGCTTGCATGTAATGTTCAAAGGTGCCTCAGACAGGGTACACATGTTACCTGCTTTAAACAGAGCCTGCTCCACATGCTGTCTGACAAAAAGGAGCTTCACTTCTTTGGGGCCAAGAATGTCCCCTCTTGTCTCGAGTTAGGGTCCCACACTGCCTTCCATCTCCTAGTGAACTTGTTTGGAGCTGTCTGGGGCTTCTTGCATCTCACATCTCTTGGAAGCCCTGTCCCAGCTCTAGCTATGGTTGATATGAGGTCATCTCTTGGGAAAGCAACTCAGGGAGAAGACCTAGGTCTCTTAGACACTGTACCTGCTCACCATATGTACCAGTGAACCCACAGAGGGTCCATTCTGAGCACCTCCTGTTTTCAGGCAGAACATCCCCATTTTTCTTCTTCTCCAGGGATTCTCCCTCCTCTCATCAACCTGGACCCTCATTCTCCATTATCCTGCATTGTGACTACTCCATGGTCTACCTGGCCAAGCCTCCAGCATCCTCCTACTGAGAACCCCCAGGCAGGGTTCTCTGATGGGGCCAGGCCACCTCCTTGGGAGAATCCTAACATCCGCTCTGTCCATGTGCAGTCACAGAATCTCCTAGTCATGCGAGACAGTGCCTTCTTAATCATAATTAAACACAGCCCTGGGTTCCTCAAATGAAATCAACAGCGAGAAGAACCTTTATCCAAAAGGAACAGAGCAAGTACCCCATCCCCCACCTCTGCCCACCCTTTACTCTTTCCTTAAATCTCAGGCTTATCGCAAAACAAGTTCAACTACTTTCACCTATAAAAGAAGTCAACCCTGGAAAAAAACCAAAGACAGACTCCAGACCCTGACAACATTTTGGTGCAGAAATGCCTATTTGCTAACGGTGAGCCCCGACAGGGGCCTGACTTACGGAAGGCTGTGTAGAACTCATGAAGGGTCAGGAGGCCGTCTTTGTTGTAGTCATCAAATCGGAGGAGGTCGCCCGGCGAGCACCCCAGGAAGTCCTCCTCCAGGTCCTGCTCCTTCAGTGCGTGCTATGGGTGAGAAAGGGAAAAGGCTAGAGTCAGGAGTGAGTTCAGAGCTATGGGCGCTGCTGGAAAACGGCTCAGGCCAAGTGGGGCTGTGGTCACTGTCTGGGCAGGTGTGTCCATGTGTGTGCATGTAGACTCTAGCAACAGCTCCGTAGGCCATGGGGAGCATCCAAATCTCTTTGGTGTTGTCTTGTTTGACCTTCTCCTTTTATAGATGAGAAAACTGAGGCTCAGAGAGGGAAGGGACTTTCTCAAGGTCACATGATGATTGGGCCTGAGTGAGGATTAGCTTTCAGGTCTGTTTTCTCCCCACCAGGGCAAACAGATCCCAGATGATATGAGGTGAGAAGGATCCATGTGGTCATCTGGTCTACCCCTCTGTGTTATAGATGGGGAAACAGGGAAGAGATAGGGGCCTGATCAAATAGGCCCAATTAACAGTGGCCATACTCAGTGGCTCCCGACTGTGCAGAGCTGAAAGGTTACTGCTCTATCAGTGTACCCCTCCCTGCCCCCTCCAACCCCCACCAATGTCAGGTCAGCACATCCTAGCCATAGAACTATTCCTGGGGAGAGGAAGCTGCTGCTCTATTGATCTAGGCCTGAGCCCCTGCTCTGCCTGCCTTGTCCTGCCAGGAACACAAACCACTACCCTTGGGATTCTGTTGAGGGGACCATGGGTGGGCCCTTGTGAACTCCTCTCTGGATGTGGTCTGGCCTGCAGGGTGGCGACCTCCCTAGTAGGATCATCTGCGTATGGGTCTAAAACTAGAGTCTTACAAACAAAATGCTCAGAAGGAAATCTCAGAAGAAAGAAAATGATTTTATTTTGGGGGGAAGAGGGGAACAGCAGCATTTTCTCTTTATTTAACAGTCTCAGCTGGGCCTGGTATATTAAAGGCAATTTAATGTGATAATATTAAAAAAATGACCCTTCACCCAACAAATAAGAGTGTTCGATAAAAGGGAGATCAACCATAACGCCTGAAATCAATCTTCCAAAGATGGAAATTTCCCTTTGTCTATTTCTGCACTGGAAATTGATTAACTTTTCATAGGACCTACACGTTTTCTCCAACGCCTCTGATTCGGTGTCAAGGAAAGGCCCACTTTAGCTGGGCCCTGCTTGGCAGATTTATGAAATGGACTTTAAACACATTAAATTTTAAAGAGGAAATCATAGTCCAATTACCACGCTCGTTAATGGCTGCAGGTGCCTCAGGGCATGTCTCTGCCAGGTTAGAGCCATGAGCCCAGGAATGTTTTGTTTACCTGGCAGCCACCTGGATCCACGTGGGCCCGGGGCACTGAGCTCCCACAGCTGCCTCTGTCTGGGGTGCGACAGAGATGCCTGCCCTCTGGGCTTCCCACACAGCCTATACTGCGGGGAATAGAACTGCTAGATGGCTCTTTTTTCAGGTAACCATGGCCAGTAGGACCTGGGCTCTCCCCAGAGCAGCGTGGGTCATCAGTGGGTCTCCGGTCCTGGCCCATGGGGTCTTACCCATAGCTGGGGGCTGAGGGTTGATGAAGTAGTGACATGAAGGCTGGTGTGTGTCTGGGAGGCTTCCCGGAGTGTGGGCCATGGATGGACTTACCCGTGATGCCAGGTATGAGTGAGCAGAGCAGGGTCTGCTAGTGCCTTAGGATCTGTGGTTCCCCACCCACTCCCTGGAAGCCAGCTCTGAACTGGCCGGACTTGAGAAGGGGTCCCTGCCTGGGGAAGTGTCTGGATAACTGCTCTACTCAGAGTTCTTGGGCACGTGCTGTCCCCACAGACCTTGAGAGGATCGGTGGAGCTGGTGGTAGGAGCTGGTCTCCCAGGAAGCCCCGTGTAGTGTGAGGAGAGCTGCTCCATGCACACCTGGCACCCTGGTTGCATCTCAGTTCACCACATCCTAGACAATGCGTGCCCTGCAGGCAAACCATTTGATTTCTTGGTGCCTCCTCTTGCTCATCTAAAAATACTTGGTAAGTGGGGATAACAGCAGCACCTACCACACAGCAAAAGGTGGCTGAAAGGTTTAAGGAGGAAATAACAACAATAGAGGTGATGGTGACAAAGGGATGCTAATGGCTGTCACCTACTGAGAATGTACCACATGCTGGGCACTAGGCTGAGAACTTCACACCTCTTAGCTCATCTAACCCTCCTGATGACCCTGTGACAGTCACAGACAAGAAAAGAGGCACAGAGCCAGGCAGTTGTCTGCCTAGACCCCCTAGGAGCCCGTAAATGGTGGAACTGGACCTGAATTCAGGCAGTTTGTGAAGTCTGTGTTGGTAGCTAACCTACTGAAGAGTGAGGGACACTCCTGCGTAGGGCACACTGCAGGTAAAGGGCGTCGCTTAGTGCCAAGCCCCTCGTGGGTGCTCTAAATGCCATGGCCCTCCCTGCCTGGTCCTTCCTGGTGACCCGGTCACAGTTTTGATGAGGTCACTGCTGTGCCCTGTGAAAGATCTTTTTAAAGTAGTATCAAAGGTGGGGAACCATCCTGTTATCTGTCCTTGGGGGGCGGGGCACTCTGTGGTCTTGGGAGGCAGAGCTGCCCCAGGGCGGCTGACCTCGCCTCCCTCCATGTCTTTGCACCTGGTGTGGCTCCCCCAGGCTCTCAGACCCAAACCAGCAGAGCAGGAGCAGGAATGCAGATCCCTGGGCCCATCCAGCCCGCCTTTCTGCCACCAGCACCCAACAGGCCTGTCTTGCAGCTGGCATGCCTGCTGCCCCGGGTTGCTTCTTCCTTGTTCCTTTTTGCTGCAGATGCTTGTGGCCCTTGTACCACCTGGTAGCTGGGCAAAGGGCCACATGTGCTGTGTTTGGGAGGGAGGCAAACCACGGGCTCTATCCGAGTGTTTTCTTAAGGGGCAGAGCAGTGCTCGGGGGGTGGCCATGGGCTGCCTGCAAGCCACAGGCTGGAGTGTGGGCTGCTGCTACCCAGGTACCACCACTGGTGAGGTCCGAGGGGGAGAGGACTTGGGGACAGCATATTACAGCTCCCAAAGCTCTTGGTGGAAATCAAACCTGCTTCCTTTGAATCTTCCTTCTGAGGACAGTAAAGGATTCAGGAAGAAAAAACTTGTTTCCTAATGAAAGCCTCAGAGCTCAGCCTGTGTACAGTGTGTGTTTCGCTAGCTAGCTCAGAGCTTGTTGGTAAATATTGGCTGCAGGTGGCTGGTGGAAAACAGATACCGACATTATTTTGTTTGTCAGATACTTCCAAGGGTTCAACACAAGCTCTCTGACTCCTGGGAGATGCTTTCTCTTGCAGGAGCAAGACCTCCTCGGTGTCCCATTTCAGAGATAGTGACAAACGACTCTCCCCACAGGGGTCTGCTGGTTCTCTTTCTACACACGCTGAATGGAAAATTGGATCCCCCCTGTAATGTGATTTCAGCCAGTGCTGTACCCACCTGGGCCAGCTCAGAGCTGCCGAGGTGGCCGTCTCCATCTGTGTCGAAGTCCTTGAACAGAGACTCCACCAGGAGGCGCTTCTGGGAGGCGGGGTCTTGTCTGCTGTCCCCTTCGAGGAGTGGCTGCAAGCGGCTCTGCAGTGCCAGAAGGACCTTCTTCAGGCGGGCGTAGTCGGCCATGGTGCACGGGTCACCTGGAAGAGAAGATGGGGTTACTCCAGCCAGACTCCTCCCCCAGTCTTGAGAAGACCTCGCTCCACCCCACCACCCATCAGCAGTTACTAGGCATCTGTTAGATGTAGTGCAAGGTGCAGCCTGAGTACATGAGACCTGTCCATCTAACTGTCCACCAGTCCAGGCCACAGATATTTACTGAGCACCAGATACAAGCGACACATGATGTAAACGCTGGAAGGGGACTGTTCGTTCACCCTGCACATGTTGATTGAGCACCTTCTACAGCCAGACACAGAGTGATGGTCAGAAGGAACGGGAGTCTTCATTCGGGGGACTTGGCAGTGCAGCCCCACAGCAGCTTTAGGAAGCTGGCCCCAACTCCACTTTGCAATGGCTCATCTTTGCCTTAATCCTACCTTAAAGGCTCCTTTGGAATCCGTGGCCTCATAGATCAGGGAGTTGCAGTTAATAGGACTAATAAGCCTTGCTTAAGATAATTAGAAACATTCCCAGAGCTGGATTACTTCAAGACGAACATGTGTATACAAGCCCACGACCAAGAAACAAAAGGCAGCTTTTTACGAAAGTAAGCCTGAAGCACATGGCCCATTGCTCTCAGGTCTTTCATCACAACTAGGCTTGGTCCATAGCATCAGAACCACACAGCATTTTGGCAAATGAGGCCTGTGATACCCTGTGACATGATGTAGTTTATCTTTGCTGGTAGCGGGCCACAGAGATGTTCCCCACCCACAGGGCTGTGAGCAGAGCAGAGGAGCACTCCCCGCTGCCCCACTTCTCCTCCTCCTGGGATGAGGATGAAGGATGTACCCCCACCTCCTGGCTTTGCCGAATCCTGGAGCATGGGTGTGGGGTCCTCCTCATCCATTCCAGGTTCAAGTCAGAGTGCTGCTAGCAAGGGAGTGTCTGAGGTCTAGGTCTTTCGCCTTAATTTCAAGGCCAGCTTAGGGCAGGCTGTAACAGCTCAGGGCTGGAGTCAATATAAGCAGTGCTGGAGAGTCCTGGCTCTGTGGTCTGCTGGGTTTGAGTCCTGGTTCTGCGGCTGCCTGAATGTGTACCTCGTACAAGGTGCATCAGTGATTTCATCTGTGAAGTGGGGGAGAGCAGAGCCTCCCACATAGGGCTGTTAGGAGGGTTAAAGGAGACATGCACATAATAAAAGGCATGGCACAGGCCTAGCACTGAGTAAGGGCTCATAAAATGATAGCCACCCTCCCCTTTGTCATTACTGGAACCGTCGTAGCTGAAGACCAATAAACACAGAGCTGCTTGGTGGGGACAGGGCTGCTGGGAAGTCTGTCTGTATCTCTCCCTTCCTCACTGGACAAGCCTGGATGGTCCGACCACTTTCTCTTGTGCTTCTTTGTGTTTCTAGATTTTCTTTCTTCCAATTTGGGGTCAATTGATTCTTGTCAGAAACAGATGTCTGTTACCATCTCATCCTGCATGTTTATTTAGAAAAAAATCAATTGCTGTGTTCAATATAATCAAATCTATTTGCTCTCTAGGAGTTTCGGTGCTCTGACAAGAATAGCTCTCCCACCCCTCTTTGGCCTGGTAGCATATCCATTCCTGGGAGCTCGTAGGGCCTCCAACTGGTGAACCTGATTCTCAAGTCTGCACAGTGAAAATCACAGCTGTGTCCTACAACCCCACACTCCTGCCCAGGGTCTGGGTTCCTCGGCTTCCTGAGCTGGACAAAGGCCAGTCTGGGGAAAGAAGAGTAAGAGGTTTGCCCAGATCTTGCTGCCCAGCCCCCCAGAGGACACCAGTCCCAGCAAATGGACAGAAGCTGGATGCAGTGTATGAAAGCAGAGAGATGCTTCGGTGGGGGTGGTGGTGGAAATGTGTCGGGGATCTGCAGGGGCTTGGACTGGGAGGCCTGTCAGGCTTTCCAGGGGACAGGCATTTGTGCCCCGACACTGGGAAGCTGGTGTTTACAGCAGATGGATGTGGGGTTGATAGGAGGCTCGGTTCAGAAATGCTAGCATATCATTAGGTTCCTCCCGCCCACCCGAAAGAAAAGAATACACCCGAAGGTTGGACCAGGCTGGGCCAGGTCAGATGGGCAGAGCTGTCTCATCCTCCCAGTCTTAGTGGGGCACAGATCTCTGAGCTGCCTGCTGCCCCAGGCCAGGGGTCCTCACGCAGCTAGACAGCACCTCCCACTCTGGTGGCCAGGAAAACCAGCTACACGGATCCTGTCGAGTGGGCTGCAGCAACCTCCCCAGGCTCACCGCTCCTATCAACTGTGAGTTCATGGAGGCTTCTCCACCCTGGCAATGCCCAGGCCATGCCTGCTGGTCAGGAAGGAATATACATGCCCAGAAATAAACCCAGCAGAAGAGGTAGGTGCCTCAGTGTCCAGGGCCAGCTCCCTGAATCCCTGGTCTGGCCTCCTGCTAGGCTCATGCCAACCATGCCTTTTCCATCTTTTGCCAGCATTTACTCACAAACTTTGTGCTCTATGTTGGGCAGTACTTTGAGTATGCGATGGAGCTTTCTGTCTTGGGCATCGAGGGTGCCCGTGGAAGGAGCGCTAACGAGGCCAAGGTAAAGGAAGTCTCGCTATGGATGAGCCCCACAGGATGAGGGATCTGTGGGCACAGGAGGCCAGGGGAAAGGATTGCTGGGTCACAGGGGTCGCAGGTACGGGAGCCGGCAGCACAGTGTGTCCAGAGCCCGAAGGAGGCGGGTACGGCTGGGCCGGGGTGGGGCAGAGAGCAGGGCATGGACGAGGCTCGAGGAGAGCGTGGAGCTGGGGCAGGGTGCCAGGCCCAGCAGATGGCACTTTGCCAAACTTCCTCTGTCCTTTTCTTTACTGATGCCCTCACTGTGCCTGGCTGTTGCTGGGCATGGAGGTCCTAAGACAAACCCCTTGCTCCTAGGTCCTGCTCCTAGAAGGTGATCTGAAATCCTTCTTTATCCCGGCAGCAGTTGTGCTTTACATGAGGCTCAACCTGGAATAAATAAATCATTGCCTCAAGGTTCCCGGGCTCCTCTAATATCTGTGCAGCTCTGCGGGGGCGTGAGCCTCAGAGGAAGGGCACCTGATGGTGGCGTTTCTTCACCCGTGGAGATGGTCACTTCACATTCCACAATTCAACCTCTTTCAAGACTTTTGAGGCTTCATCTCCAGCAAGGACTGCCCTCTCAAAAGCCTTCCCTTTTGGTCTCTAGGATGCTTAGTTTCCGAGAGAGGCATGTAAAAGTGCTAGTTTACCAAGCCCAGGTTTACTTTTTTCATTCACAACCTCCTGATCACACAGTGGGGTCAGATGGAACGGCTCCCCGAGGCAGGGTGTGGGCACCTGTGAGTCCTTGTGGACCTGGCCTTCAGCTAAAGGGTCTCACTCTGCTGCCAGTTTGAAATCTGTCTTTTTATAAAAGAAACACACACATCATAACAACAATAAAACACTTGGAAAGTGCAGATAAATAAAGAAAGTAAATTACCCATGATCCCTTTTCCAGAGGCTGGCCAGGCCGGGGGTGAAGCCTAGCCCTTGGCACAGGGGACCCTGAGCCAGAAGCCAAGCTAGCAGAGCCCTGGCGGGCCTCATGTGATGCACGGGTCCTGAGGCCTGGGCCATAGCCTCTGCTTTCAGATCTCCCACTCTCCTTAATCAATATAGGCTTCAATACCCAAAGGTTGGGTGCTTCTCATCATTATGCAGGTCATTTCTGCCCACCCACCTGGCAAGCCGACTGGGGACTTGAGGAGGTTGGGGTGTGGAGGGAGAAACAATCTCAGCAGCTTTGGCCACATGAATGTGCTACATGGGAGTAGCGTTTACTGCTTCTCTCAATGTTCTTTACCCACATCTCTGCCCGGCTTACTCTTCATTGCATCTTGACCACAGCTGAAACGTCGCCTGATCTAAACTAGCCCTTTGGCTTCATAATTCTCTGTGCTCCATGTTTGAGGTGGGCCTGGTCCCAGGGAGGGACCCTGCCCCTTTGGAGGGAAAGTCCCTGGAGGGGAGTACAGCAGAGGCCTGGGGACCACAACACTCTTCCCTGGTGCCCACGTGGGGGCTGACCACGATGATGGAGAGAGTGGGCTGACTGCAGGAACCTGGATGGGGTGTCATCAGCGCCGTCCACAACCTGCTGTGGGGCCAGCCTGGACAGTCACACACATGGTGGGACAGTGTTAAGTGCCTGTGAACGTGGTTGAGTCCTGTGGCTCCAGGCAGATCCTCTCATCAAGAAGCCAGGGTGACTGGGCCACCCTGTAACAACCTTTCCTGGGGTCCTCAGGTAAAGACAGGCTTTACCATAGGCTGCAACATCCGACACTAACTCCACTGATGACAGTCACTGCAAGGCTGGACAGAGCACTGGACAAGGAGTCAGGAGAGCAAAGGAGATCAAAGGCTATGCCTTTGAGTGGTTGTGAGACCCCAGGAAAGGCAGCCACTCCTGTCTTTCTTGCCCCCATTTCCTACCTTAGAACTGGGACAATAAACACCTTACAAGGTCCTGATGTAAAAGGAAACATAATAGACTTTGCAGTGTCTGAGTGATCACCAGGCCTCAGGGCCTCTCTGCATGAAATGGGCTCAATGCCCTACATGAATCACAGGGTCTGGCGCATTTATCTCTGTCCCCTTCACTGATGCCCAGCGCCTAGCACAGGTGGCCTCTAAATCGGTGAAGACTTCCTCCCGCCTACACCTCCCCATGAAGGTTTCTGCTCTGGGGTCTCTTGTGGAGGGAGGCTCATGTCCTGGCCAGCCTGGCAGTGATGAGAGTCCCCAGGAGGCCCTTGGAAGGACCCAGCCATCCTCCGCTGGCCGGGGTGTCCCCCATGCAGCAGCGCTGGGCCCGCTTGGCCAGGCCTCGGCATTGGCCGCGGGCTTCCTGCCGGCACGTGTGTGCGGGGGCTCCTCCTGCTCACAGACCGGGCCTGTTTTGGCAGATAAAATATTGATCAGCCTGCTGAGGAGCCCAGAGTGTGATCCTATTTTCATGTCAGAACTTGGTAATGAAC